GTCATCTTCGTCACGTGACGCATTTCACTCGTCTTCGTCACGTGACGCATTTCACTCGTCTTCGTCACGTGACGCATTTCACTCATCTTCGTCACGTGACACATTTCACTCGTCTTCATCACGTGACGCATTTCACTCGTCTTCGTCACGTGACGCATTTCACTCGTCTTCGTCACGTGCCGCATTTCACTCGTCTTCATCACGTGACGCATTTCACTCGTCTTCGTCACGTGACGCATTTCACTCGTCTTCGTCAAGTGACGCATTTCACTCGTCTTCGTCACTTGACACATTTCACTCGTCTTCGTCACATGACGCATTTCACTCGTCTTCGTCACGTGACACATTTCCACACGCAGTCATTATTTGAGGGGTTTTGTTAACACAAACAAATGTCCAAATGATTTTTTAATGGTTTTCATTTTATGGATTTCCAAGACCTGAGGTTGATTTGATGTTGCAGTTTGGAGCCTTTGAACATTATTTTACAGCTTTTCTGCTACTTTTACTGTAACTAACAGGACTTTCTCCTGCAGGATGATAAGAAGTTCTACCAGCTGGAACTCGTCAACAGGGAGACCAACTTCAACAAAGTGTTCAACACCAGTCCAAACGTAGGAGTTATCAACCCGCTCATCAAGGTAGGTCCTGATGTTCTGCAACCTGCTAAGGGGGGCGGGGCCACAGGGATCCACCTGTTCCGTTAGTTTACTTTGCAGTGACTGCACATCATGTCATCATCTGTTTGATAGGACAGCTTTTATACAACCAGAAATCATTGAGTATCTGTGATAATATCATGTTTACTCTTAAAGAGGCGGAGCTTTGCACCGATGAGTAGTCAGTATCTAACCTGCATCAGATAGCAGTCAGAGCATTTTTATTTTGTTTTTGTTGTTTCCATCTGTATCACTTTGACTCTGAGTAAATGTAATATCATTATTTATTAGTTTAATTATTTATTAATGTATAATGCGTTATGTTTAAAGTTACCGCATCACTTAAATATACTTAAATGAGAAAATTCAACAAGCAGAGACAGAGCAGTAATGAGACCGTACTTAAAGATCCTTCATGAAAAACTTGGATTAAAACAACAAAACACTTAGAAGCTTAGAAGCTAACATGAAAGCTAACAGGCTAAAGCTAACATCTCTACATTCTCCTCTCTGCCAACGCGCTCTGGTTAACAAGCTAAACAACCAMCTTTTTTTCATACAGCCWTGTTTTTATTGTTGAAGTAAATGTTAACACGTAATGTTTAATGTTACAACAGGTCAGGGTTCCCTTAAAGAATTAAAAACATTCCAAAACTAAGATTGTTTTTTGACTTGTGTGTGTCTGTTGGCGTCTCTGCCCCCTTGTGGTCTGGGGTGGTTATTACAGCCTTTGAATTTTTGTCTTATTGTTTAGATGGAGTGAAGTTCTTCATTTAGAACAGTTCTACAGTTTTCACTGCATGCTCCGGTCCAACTGATGACAATAACACAATAACTTCCTGTTTGTTTTTGGTCTTATATGTACAATTGACCTCATGCTGGTTTGTGTTTTGTCCTTTTGTTTTTATTGATCATGTTTCTGTGTGAGTCTTCCACTCAGTTCGATTCCTAACCTATTTTTTCCAGCTTTCCTTTGCTTTCCAAGCCATTTGTTGGAGTGAGATGTTTCCTGCTTTGTCACTTCTCTTCTCGTTTTGCTCAGAGCGATTGCTGCTTTTTAAGTCTGAGTGAYATCAGTCTCCAGATTGAGCCATTCTCTCTGCTTCAGTCAGCTTGTAATCCGATGAAATTAGCACGCTGCTGTTTCCTGTCTCTCATCGGCCGGAATCTTACGACCTCCAGAGCTCTCCTTGTGCTCCATTCGCCCTCTTTTCCCTCCATTTTTCTTATGATTTTGCTTTAAAACTTCCCTGTTGCTCCCTTTTTGACCCCGATGCCCCTCCTTTTCTTTTCTTTTGTTGTTTCTGTGTAGCAAAAGAAAAAGAATGAGAAAGCAGCAGCCAGCAGATTCAGCAGCTCTCCTAATCTCAGGGCTCTGGAGGCGGCGGGCACGGGCGTGGGCGTGGCGGGCCCAGGAAGTGGGCAGCCCCCGCAGGCTCCGCCCGTGCCCCCGGCCCCGCCCAGCCGCCTAGAGCCCATCCCCAACTCCCCCCTCCACCACCTGGAGCTCGACTCCAACAAACCTCTTGCCCCGCCGACCCCTCCCAACGAGCCCAAGAAGTTCATGAGGTGAGACCTTCTCCGCTGACCGGCAGCAGCTCGCCAACRCCGCCATTTTCCATCCAATCACAGAGCTCCTCTGCTGGAGGCTCAAACTCGTCCTAAACAGCCGAGGTCCAGCCTTAAAGCAAAATCACTAGCTTATATTTCTAAATAAAAAAGGAACTTTTAAATTATTTCTAGCAGTTATTTTTCATAAGAAGCATGAAAATCATTTCAGCTACGAGTTCTTTAAGTGTCTGAAAAGTCTGCTGAGCCCTGATTCGCTGCAGCTTTTCTCACCATTTAACTGAAGCGCACACTGTAAACAATTTATCGTTAAATTTACAGGAACTTACTGTATTTTTACAGTAGTTTTGCTGTAAATACATTCAGTAGTTACTGTATTTGATTTTACCGTAAAACTACCTTAAAACAAAATACAGTAGTTACTGTATTTGATTTTACCGTAAAACTACCGTAAAACAAAATACAGTAGTTACTGTATTTGATTTTACCGTAAAACTACCGTAAAACAAA